AAAAAACTATACGAGTGCGGTTTAGAACCCGTAACCTCTGACACGCTTGGCAAAAGATTTACAGAACTCAAACATAAGATCTGCGGATCGATGCATTTATTTACGGGTTGAGCAGAGTGGCTGCACAGTTTGACCAGCGGGCGGCAAGAACTTGCAATAACTATTTATCAGACCGGCCCTCGCAGCCTCGAAACCATAGAAACACTACCGGACCACCGGTAAAAGTCCCGACTTACCCGATTGCCACTCCGCCCCTGCACGCCATTAAAAAATATAGCCTATGAATCGATTGTTGGAATTCTATGAATCGATTCTGAATCGGTAAAGATTGAATCGCGATTCAAATGTGAATCGATTTTTTTGCACACCCCTACTGACTAGGGCTGGGTAAAAATATCGATTCATCAATGCATTGCAATTTTTTGCTTCTCAATTCAATATCGATTCATCAAATCCAATTAATCGATTCAGCCATCCAGGCCAGTGGCGGCGCTGTGGGCTACACTCTAGTGAGAGCATTCAGCGTTGTACAAGTCGCGCTTTAGCAAAACAGCGCGATGACGGACAGCAGCTGCACTCCGTTCAAGCCTGATTCAAGCCTGCACCACCAACATTAAAAGCAGACGTTTGGGCTCATTTTGCATTCCACTCCAAGCCGGGAACTATGGAAGCTTGTTTCCGCCACAGAATGGAAAATAAAAAAGGTAATTGCGACTTTTTATCTCACAATTCTGACTTTTTTTCTGACAATTGGGAGTTTACATCTCGCAATTCTGAGATATAAAGTCAGAATTACGTGATATAAATTCACAATTGCGGGATATAAAGTCAGAATTGCGTGATATAAAGTCGCAATTGCGTGATATAAAGTCAGAAATGCATGATCTAAAGTCAGAATTGTGAGATATAAACTATTCTGAGAGGGAAAAAGGTTAGTCTTTTTTTCCCTTAGAATTGGCCAAGTATGATCAACTGTTAAGTGTTATTGTTTACAAAATTATATTTATAATATGATATTAGACTTTTTTTGAGTATACAAATTGTGTGCTTCTGTTTATAACTTGAATGTATAGACCATTTTGCAAGATTTAAACAACACTGGTCCAGAAGCACTTCCTGTTTCAGTTTGTAACTGTTTTCTTTATTAAACACGTAAAGAAAACATCTTAAAGATGTTTGTTTAAATTTTTGATTCAGTTTTATATGTTCTGTTGGTTGTATTTTATCCCAGCTTTTATGTAGTGTTAAAAAACTGAAACAGGAAGTGCTTCTGGACCAGTGTTGTTTACATCTTGTGAAATGGTCTATAGGAAGAAAGAAATATACTTTCTACTACTTAGTTACATGCACTTTAGAGGTGTTGTTAAAGCACTGTACAGTCACAGTTGTGTTTGTATTCAACACATACAATATTGTACATTTATTCTGCTGATTAAACCATGACAGGAAACAAACATGCTGGGGTCAATTTGTTCTTTAACATTGGTAATAATGCGCACATTATTGAAAAATATACTCAGGCACTTAATTATTTGTGTATTTACTTATTATTGAATCGATATCGAAGCTAATAAATCAATATTGAATCGAATCGAAATCGAATCGAAGCCTCAAGAATTGAAATCGAATCGAATTGAGAAATACCTAACAATACCCAGCCCTACTTTTAACCGAATCCGACGAGCTTCTTGCTCACCTAACTGTGCAATCGGGTTTAGCCAAAGTTAGCTAGCCAAAGTTAGCTAGCCAGTGAAAACTACAAAGTCCACAATACAATAGCACTACGATTAGCAGAAGTGGCTTCCCGGAAATCGAACATATTCTATTTATAAAATATAGAATAAAATATAGAATTAGTGACCAAACTCCATCGCACACCTGCAGGTGATAGGTGCGTCGGATGATAAGACCAGACTAGCTAGTCATTTAAGCAGATAAGGAGCTCCCGCACACTATCGTTACTTGCACTTTTTAATGAAGTTTATTCACACACAACGTTTCGGTCACACGACCTTCGTCAGGAGTATACAAGAACTTCATTAAAAATTGCAAGTAACGATAGTGTGCGGGAGTTCCTTATCTGCATAAAATATAGAATAAAATGTTATATATTATATTGGCAGTCTTGAGTGGAAAATAATGTGGATATAGTTGAGCAGATTCCTCTGCAGGGTTCACACACAGTACAGTATCAGTCCTGTAGATGGGAGAACGCTCACTATTATATGTACAGTAGCACATGTCCTACACCCTCAAAACAGCTTCTGACATTCATGAGTTTGCAGAAGTGAGAGAGAGAGAGAGAGAGAGAGAGACTAACAGTAGAAGCTGCTCTTATAGATATAGAGATGTAGTTATCATCAGTGCTTTAATGTACTGCTATTGGCTGAGGATGCTGGATTTGATTATTTATTTACTGTACTGTAATTGACATTATACTGTATTGTAATGCAAATCAAATTAATGTTCAGTTTGTTGGTATGTCAACTGTTTTGTGTGCTTTTGGTCTACTTTACAGTATATAATGAAGATACACTTCTCTTAAGCTAATTGTTAAAGCACCTCTACTGTAATAGACATCAACGGTAAAATGATTCCCAATCGCCTGATGGAGGCTTTATTACCGTGTTCTGGATTGATCTCACTAGTGTGTAAGACTGTGGTGTGTGTGTGTTTGAAGGGAACGTTTGGATTGAAATGGTTTTGATTTGAGAATAGACATTTGGGGAATCGGTGAGACATTATGGATTTGTGTTTAAGAGTTTTAGAAAAAACGAGGCATAATTTCAGGAAATGTGTTTGAGCCATAGAGAAAACCTGTAAGATCACAATCCCGTCGACTCACTGCTCATGATCGAGACACTAGCTCTATTAGTTAAATATTACGTTGCAGCATATTATCTTCATCAAAAGACAATAAGAAGTTAAAGTGGTTTTATTTAAATGTGTGTGACACACCACACACTCTCCGACCGGCAGACCTGCTTAAACTGTTAAAAACAGCAGTGTGCTTTCAGTGGGCCTAGAATTCCCCACACACACACACACACACACACAGCGTTAACACACACACACACAGGAGTACAACATTAACACACACACACACACACACACACACACACACACACACACACACACACACACACACACACACAGGAGTAAAGCATTTACACAATCTCTATCTCTCTCTCTCTCTCTTTCACACACACACACACGAGTACAGCGTTCAATTCACTTCAATTCTAATTGCTTTATTGGCATGCCAAAGCTTGTAACACATAATATAATAATAAAGAGATAAAGAATATTAAAGTATTATAGCAACTTAAATTTAAATGTACAAATTAAATTAATTGAACAATTAACAGTGTAACAGATTATAATTTCTGTGAACATTTGATACCACAGTGTTTTAACACACACACACACACACACACACATCAACACGTGTTGTCAGGCTTGTAACAGAACCGCATTAGAATCAGGACTCATTGCTGTTCAGTATGTGTTTTTGCTTCATAATTAATTTACATTTTCAATATTGTTTGAAGATATTACATTAAATAGTTTAATCAAACATCAGTAAGTGTTTAATATACAGTCGGACTTTAATTACACCTGATTAATATCCATCATCACTGATCTGCAGAGTTATGATGACGTGAAGAGAACAGGAACACGTGATGGACGGGGTAAGTCGAGCCTAATGCAAACTAAGAGAATTGACCATTTGGATGTCACCGAGATTGAATTAGAAGCTGTGCTGTAATTGGCCTTGGTGCAGAAAATACAGTGTGTGTGTGTGTGTGTGTGTGTGTGTGTGTGTGTGTGTGTGTGTGTGTGCGTGTGTGTGTGTGTGTGTGTGTAGCATAGCCGTCAATACGTCAATCTTAAAAGAAGAAACAAAACTCAACAAGCTGAACATTTTACCTGGAAAGTGTCGCTGATTCCCGTCCCCTCACCTCCTCCTCCTCCACACACACACACACACACACACACACACACTTGATCTCCATCAGTGCAGTCTCTCTCTCTCTCTCTCTCTCTCTCTCTCTCTCTCTCTCTCTCTCTCTCTCTCTCACACACATACACACACACACACATACACACACACACATGATCTGGTCATCAAACAGCAGGATCTGCGCGCGCAGCTTTAGCGGATTCATTAAAGCACATTTTCTGATCTGAGATCAGATTCAGAGCCTCCTCTCTGAGCTCCACATAAACTCCTGTTGAACGCTCTTTATCAAATATGACTGTATGAAACTTCACCCACTGTACAGGCCTAACTCACTAAACTCGTGCTCGCGTTAGGCTCCAGTACAGCGACGCGAGCGAGCGGGTTTACTATAGAAATGATGATGATGATCGTGTGATTGTGTGAAGTGGAGGCTCCGCTGTGTGTGTCCGGTTAGTTACAGGCGAAAGGATCGATGCGGTGATGAAGGACTGGCTAGTGCTCTTCATCATCAGATGCTCAGAGAAATGATATAGCAGAAACAGTGATGCTCTTATCTCCGAGGCGCAGGACACGCCGATCGATGCCGGCCGGCCCGCGCGCGCTTTGTCTCCGGGAGATGTTGATGCGGGTTCGGGACGTCACTTCTGAAACGGGGAACCGGTGGAGAAGAAAGGAAACTCGCACATGTGTCTGACACGTCATAACTCACTCTCTTGGTTTAAATCAATGATATTAATATATCAGAGTCAAACTGAAAGAATAAATGCATGGCAATAATTAGACAGTATAAGAAAACAAAATGTATTAATTCTTGTTGAGCTCGTATTAAACACAATATTTTAAATCGCCGCGTTTCCCGTAGGCCTACACGCGTGTGTTCCCAGACTCGGACACGGAGGTGTGTGTTAATAAGACGGAGTGAGTAATTTTATCAGGTCAGTTTCATGCCGCCTTGAGCATCAGATGACGGTGAACTGGTGTGTCCTGCTGCTGCTGTATCCTAGCGGTGGCTCTGCGCACACACACACACACACACACACACACACACACACACACCTCCAGCGCCAGCACCGACCGCTCACTAACTTCTGACGCCCAGCGGAGCGCGTCACACACCGCGATCCTCGCACGCGTCGGAGAGGCTCTGGATCCGCAGGCCTGGAGAAGAAGAAGCGATCCTCGCAACTCAACAACTTTACATCACCATTCCAGCACTTTAACTAACTTTCAGAGCGGCTGCGGTGAGTGTGTGTGAGTGCTAACGCTTCCGAAGACCCACACACACTCCGTCCAACACTTCTGCTGAAACTGGCCTCGCCGGAGGACATGCTCTTCGTTACTTTACTGAGTGTGTTCGGCGGTGATGGGATGTAATGGAAGAAAGGAACATTTACAAAGAAGAAAAGTTCTCGTGAACAGGATCCGCCCGAATCATCTCACTAACACACTCTTGGGAATATTCCTGTAGATCCGTCCGCTAAAGCCCGTGTCGAGCTGATCTCGGTGGAGGAGTGTGTGTGAGTGTGAGTGTGTGAGAGGTGAAGTAGTAAATTGCGGAGTCCGTCCCTCATTTCCATCTCAGTTGTTCCCACTGGAGCTCTGCCAATCCAGAGGATCGTTCACTATCATAATGATAACTCCGCAGAAGCGCAGATCCCAGCGCGAGTTCGAGCGGCTCTTCTGATGAGTGTGAGTGAGGAAGAATGTCCCGTCGGAAGCAAGCGAAGCCCCAGCACCTGCGGTCGGACGAGGAGCCCGGGTCGGTCCTGCTGCCGGGTCACGGTGAGCTGATGATGAGGAGGATGATGATGGTGGTGGTCTTCACTGAACCTGCGGGACTTGAATGCCAGCGACGCGCTTTAGTCTAATCGCCTTTAAAAACAAACACACATTTTTCGCGCTCGAGCATTTGTGTCATTCTATTTTAAAGTTAAATTCACACCCGTGCATGCAAATTACTCGCTTTTCTTAAATTATGACACTTATGATTTAGAAACATTAACAACAAACGGCGATTTATCCGAAACTTAAAGATTAGCAAATAAAACAAATACAATATGAGAGTAAATTATTATCGAGTTCAACTAACGGAAAGATTCACCTATACACCTTAATTTAGCGTTTTTTTGTTGGCGTAACTATGTAGAAACATTAAAATTGAGTTTAATTACTCAGAGACGCTTCAAACATTTAAAAGAAAGACGATTCTTCGCTTCAATAATTAAGATCTTTTCGTCGTTTACATTTTTACTCTTTTAAATTCTTCTTTTTAAATTGATAATTTGCTTTTTTACTTTACCTAAATCACTATCAAGAAAGAAGGTGGCAAATGCATGTTATAACAATATATATATATACGTCTTCATTTTGTGTTTTAGTAGTCTACTAAATGTCGCTGTGTGTTTTACTCGTAATTGTGTTTAAAGCAGTTTAATGCGATGCGCGGGTATCTGCATAACCCATGACTCTGCAGTTATTAATTACAACAATTCGGTCCCTTTCTCGGAAAAGAAGAAAGGTTTTCTCCCTTTCTCTAGGGTTACTTTTTTGCAATAATAATAATATTAATAATAGGCTAAAAATAATAATTTATCACATGCAGTGTTTTTAAAAATACACGAAGCAAAACTCGGTTATTCAGTCACTATTGCAACATTTCTTGTAGTTTATACAAACCTGCTACAAATTCAGTTTAATTTATTTATATATTACTAACATTTTACCAGCAAATCATGTGAAAATCTTTATTTTTTTAATCAGTCATGAGGCTGTTAAGGAATGTTGTAATGTCATAAATCTTTTTAGGTGATTATTACGCCAGTATTTTCTGTCACATGTTCAGAAGTCTCGCTGTCTTGGCTTTAATCTATCAAACTATAATCAAAATACATCTCCAAATTAAAGCACATCTCGACTGAGTTTCAATCAAGCAGCAAACATAATGTCTGATAGATGAGCAGAAATACATGTAGCCTACACGTGATTATTTAAACAATAATTCAAGAGTATATATATATCTAATTCCAATCTAAAACTCATTCATCTATCAATACATATTGAAGCACATATTTGCCAGTCTTGTATCATACACATAATACACTACAATAATCACAGTAATTCTGTGTGTGTGTGTGTGTGTGTGTGTATTTTTTTTTTTTTAGAGAGAGAGATCCAAAAATGAAAATTTAATGACAAACTAAAGTGTAATATTGGAGTCCTGAGCGTTTAATATTGCCTGATACCTCAGCTTGTATGATCCGACTTCGACTGCATCTGAATAGCAGCAGAAGTATTGATTGTTTCTCCTAAAGACGGAGGAGAAGCGGAGAGGTTTCAGTCCTTCTGTGATGATCGCAGTGTTTCTTCAGTCAGATCCTCTGTTTCTCGCCGCTCGAGTCTTTAAATGCTCGTTTTCATTCTCTTTTGTTTGCTTGGCTTTTGAACGCGCTATTGTGTGCGGGCCTCAGTGGTGTGTGTGTGTGTGTGTGTCCCCGAGGAGCCGCATGCGCTTAACCCTCGCCGGCTGGACCAGCATGGGTGGCCCATACATCTCCGGCTTTACATGCGGTTCGTGCAGATGTTCGCTTGACCCGAGAGAAGTGGCTTACATATGTCCTATGGTGTATTAATTATGATAATCTCTCTGTCGTCTTTCATCTCCATGCAGATAATGAGCTCTGATACTCTGACACTCTGTCCTATTGTGTGGGTATATCTCACATGGGTTAGGACTTTTTTTAAACAAAATATAAAACTTTTTTTTCTGCTGAGATTTACAATTTAGTATTATTTTATAATTTGATATTTATACATCTAATGGAAAGTTTGAATTATGCTGGAATTCTCTGTGTTTTTGAACAATACTTTCCTTCCATGTTCCCAAGGCCGCTTGGTATTGTAAATTACTGGTAGTGATGTAGTCCGGTTTGTTCAGTCTGAATTATAGTTTTGACCAGTTAATTTAGACAGTAATCATGAAACATTTTTACAGTGTTGGGATTTATTCATTTAGATCTGTCAGTGTAGAGACTGTAACCGTCTCACATTTTTTGTATTTTTCAATGTTCAAATTGTACAAGAGGTCTGATGATAATGTGTATTGATCCGCCAAAGATGTTGAGCAGAATATGCTGGTTTAACCTGTTAATTATCCGGGTCCATTTCCCATCATGGTGTGGTTACACCTGTGTCCGAGCACATGCTAACACAACACATGAACATCTGCACATCTGACCCCAGATCAGGTGTTGTGGAGGACACAGAGCCATCGCCGAGTCCCGTTTATGTGTTTCGATATGGCATGGGCAACACTGAACATTAATATTACAAATTCATACATTTCATGTGAAGTAATAGTAAGCAAGATTTGCACAAGTGCATTGTATACAGTGTGTGTGTGTGTGTGTGTGTGTGTTTGTGTGTGCTACAGGATGAAAAATACTTTCAGCCATTTTGGATTATCACAAAAAAGGTTGTAATTTATTTATTATCATTTTTATTTAAAGGTAGTAGTTGCATTTAAATCGTTTGTAAATTAAGGCATTTTACTAGTGTATGATAACATATTTTTATGAGAAAATTAATTTAGAAATGGTGAGGAATGAGAAGTGTATTTATTCTTTTTAACACTTATCATAACACTTATAAAAACATAAATACATTATAGTGTATAATATGTCAGGTTAGATAGAGCATCTGATAGAGTATAACTGATGTAAAATCTAAAAGTGTTTTCAGTTTGCATATCAACATTTGCTCATTGTACAGGAAATTCTATATAATTTATAAATCAGTCTGCTTTACTCATATAGAAAATTAGGAAAAATTATACTTTTAGTTTGTCTGAAATAGACAGTATGAATGTGTCTGAATTATTCTCTCTTACTGTAAAAACAATAAGCATTTCTAATTAATTTTATTCCAGTCACTGCCGACATGAGGAAATACATCACCTCCTCCTTCTTCCTCTTCTTCTTCTTCTTAGTATGATTATTAGGTTTACAGTATATTATCATAATTTGTTGTCAAATACATTTAAAAAAAACATTTGTAGTTATATGTATTCTTTAATTCTATTTTCTGTTTTGGAATAGAAATTAATTTTATTCTTGATTTTTTTTTTAAATATTCATCCATATTGCAGAAGAAGACACACTATAATGTATCTGCTAAACATTTTCAACCGCCAGTTGATAAAAATAGAAATAAAAATATATACATATTTTTAAATACATTTTTAAAATGTTTCTCATTTTTTGGAATAAAAACATAAACGTTTTACTCCGCAAGGTCTAATCACAATTTAGGCATGTTTAATTCAGCTTGTAAAGTTAATTCTTCAGAGTTGTCTGCATAACATAATTAACAAAATATCAGACCCAACCCAATCTCTGCAGTCAAGCACTATTACCAGATAATTACCATAAAGCATAGACACACTCAAACACACAAGATGTTCTGTGTCCATTGGAATAATTCGTACAGATAATATCCACAATAATGTGTATGATTTAAACAGTGGAGACATGACGAGATATGATTTAGGGCTGCTGTGATGTCAGCTGTACAGAACATGCGGTTTCTTCTTCTTCGTCAGGAGACGTGTTGTGCCAGTGTTTCCAAACCCATAGATGACGCATCTGACAGAACTGCTTCAATAAACGCTGAATTGAATGAAATATTGCAAATCAATGACTTGTGTTGAATCTGTTTTTAAACGGAAATATCCAGCACTGATCAGACTGATTGCACAAAGAGATTTATTATCTGGTTGTACAGGGAACAATGCAATTATCAAAAACGGTGGCTAAGATGAGATACTAAAATCCAGAAAAAAAGGGCAAAATTGATTTTTTTGTGCAATTAATAAAAAGTTGAATTTATTCATTAATTTTTGCACTTTAATTTCCTGTTCCCCACAGTCTCCGGTGAAGGAGTGGAGGATTCAGACAGTGGAAATGAGAGCCGCAGCGGGAGCGAAGAGACCCACGTGTGTGAAAAGTGTTGCGCTGAGTTCTTTAAGTGGTCGGATTTCTGTGAACATCTGAATACCTGTACCAAGAACCCGCTAGTGTTGATTATCAGTGATAATGAGGTGACTTCAGACCCAGCCCAGGACTACGTGCCGGAGCCATCCCCGGTGCCCAGCAGCGAGCCGGCCGAGAGCGAGGACGACCCCGGGGGAAGCCTCATCCCTCACGCCGAAGCCGACGAAGGAGCAGACATGATGCTGGATCCGGGTTCTGTCCTGGAGAAAGAAGACGAGCCCATGGAGGTGGAACTGTCTCCTGAGAAACCCACAGATTCTGAAGATCAAGTTGCCCTGGCAGAGCCAGACATAAGCCTACCTCAGATTGAGGACCACACGCAGTCCTCCGGGGCGGGCTACTCTATTCCCAGCACTAACGTCACGCTGGAAACCCTGCATGGGACCCGTGTGGCGGTGGCCCAGTTCTCTCAGGGTGCCCGGGGGGCTCTGGCTGGTGAAGTGTCCACTATGGCCATCCCCATGATCCTGGACCAGCTCATGGCCTTGCAGCAGCAACAGCTCCATCAGCTTCAACTCATAGAGCAGATTCGGAGCCAGGTGGCGCTAATAAACAAACAAGCCCCCACACAGCCCGCCGTCAACCATCAAGTAGACCACAGCATGAATGCTGCCTTACAAGTCAGCTCATCCTCCAGCATACCCACCATGTCTGGGCAGCTTCATCTGCGTGGCTTCATTACACCCCCTGTGCATCAGCTTCCTATCAAGGGACCCTCCACTTTAAACGGGCAGGTCTCCGCTTCATTATCTTCAGCTCTGGAGGGAGCCTGTTCCAATGTCCCTCAGACGGGTGGCCAACTGGCGAGTTCTGGGATGAAAAGCAATATCACAATGAATTCCCTGTATCCAACAACCAGTAATGCGGCTCCCTCCCAAATGCCACCATGCTCAGTGTCGATTAGCAGCAGTGGCTGCACTAGCAGTAGCACAGGGCCTGGGGGTGAAGCCAGTTGTTGTATTTCACTACCAAGGAACACACCTAGTCCTTTGACGCTGACTCATGGGAGATTGCTAACATCCCCCTCCAGCCTTCCCCTTGTCCCTCACAGCTCGCCCAACAGTGTTATCTTCCCTAATCCTTTAGCCAGTATCGCAGCCACAACAAATGCTCTTGATCCTCTTTCCGCCCTAATGAAGCACCGCAAAGGAAAGCCCCCAAACGTCTCAGTGTTTGACACCAAACCCAGTTCAGAAGATCCCTTCTTCAAACACAAGTGCAGATTTTGTGCTAAGGTGTTTGGAAGTGACAGTGCCCTGCAAATTCACCTTCGTTCCCATACTGGTGAAAGGCCTTTCAAATGCAACATTTGTGGTAATCGCTTCTCTACAAAGGGTAACTTAAAGGTTCATTTTCAGAGACACAAAGAAAAGTATCCTCACATCCAAATGAACCCCTATCCTGTTCCTGAGTATTTGGACAATGTTCCAACTAGCTCAGGTATACCTTATGGGATGTCCTTTCCCCCAGAAAAACCTGTTACCACATGGCTGGACAGCAAACCTGTTTTGTCTACAATCCCATCACCGGTAGCACTGCAACTCCCTCCAACCATGCCCAGCATTCTAGGAAACTATGGGGATTCTACTAGTTTCACCCCTTTAAGTCGGTCACCTCAAAGGCCATCCCCGCCATCAAGTGAGTGCACATCTTTGTCTCCTAATCACCTCATTGCTGAGGCCAGTTCTGCACAAACCTCCAGTTCCCCACATCCCAATGTGGCGAGTGACACGCCTCCAGTTCTCAAACCTGAAGCCTTTCTTCTACCACCCAACTCCCCCACCAGGCCTGGAGAAACCGGCATGTCGATCACTTCCATGCCCCAAGTGATGTCTGCGACCACAGTTACAACCTCGACCAGGACACAGATCACAGACTCATCGAATACTCCGTCTGCTGTCTCTCATCCCTCCCTACAAATGATGTCCAGTCAGTTTAAGCCCAAGTTTCCTTTTGGTGGCCTCCTGGACTCTATGCAAACATCAGAGACCTCAAAACTACAGCAACTGGTGGAAAATATTGATAAGAAGATGACAGACCCCAACCAGTGTGTTATCTGTCATCGTGTGCTCAGTTGTCAGAGTGCCCTGAAGATGCACTATCGCATCCACACAGGAGAAAGACCCTTTAAATGTAAAATATGTGGTCGTGCTTTCACAACCAAGGGTAATTTGAAAACACACTTTGGGGTTCACAGATCAAAGCCCCCTCTCCGGGTACAGCACTCTTGCCCCATATGCCAGAAAAAGTTTACTAACGCCGTAGTTCTGCAGCAACACATCCGCATGCATATGGGTGGACAGATTCCCAACACACCCCTGCCTGAGAGTTTTCAGGACATGGACACAGATCTCTCCTTTGATGAAAAGAGCTTAGATGCCATGAGCAACTATGAGGACGAGCTACTTGACGAGATGGACCAAGTAACGGAAGATGAAACATGTCTCAAAGAAGGGAACGTGAACTCACCAAAACAACACAATTCATACTCAGACATGTCTCCAAGCACCTCTCCCCCAACCTCTCTGATCTCCAGCATTGTTGCTTTGGAGAATGAAATGAAGCTGAGTGACCCAACAGTTAACGTAACCCATTCCTTCAGCCTAAAGCCTCCAGAAAATGGGAGTGAAATTGATGGGGAAAATGGAGACATGTTTAAGAATGACTCATCTTCCACTATGGGAGACTTGGAGAACCACAGTGTTGGGAGTCCAGCACAGTCTGAGTCCTCTGGCTCGATGCAGGCTCTCTCTCCTACCTACAGCCAGCCGGAGAGCCATCGCTTCGAGCCGCCGAGAGTCGAGTCCCCTCCTCAGGCAAAAAGCAGCAAGGACGAGGCTCTGCATTCTGCTTCAGTGAGTGCCACGGTGAAGTCTGAGCAGTCGGACAGCCCTTCTCCTGGAGCAGAGAACACGGGCGCATTAGATCTCACTGCCACACAGCCCAACAGGCCATTTGTCAAAGATGAGAATCACTTCAGTCTGCTGTTCCTGGGAAGAGACAGAGGTAGACATCTAGAGATAGTCCTATATATACAAAATTACAAATGGCTGATAATTTAATTACTGTCGTTGTTACCACTAATACATACATTAAAATCAAATAAATGTAAATAACCGAAGCCTTTTCCTGTGATTTATGTTTTTTTTAGGTTTAAACACTCCCAGTATTATGAGCTCAGAATCAAGCACAGTGAAATATGAGAATGGACACAACAAACCACTGACCTTGTGTGAGGGACCCCACGTACCAGTCGGCCCCCAGGTTCCTACCGCCACCCCTCACACAACCATAAGCCCCAACCTGGCTCCAATGCTGGCTCCGCCCCCACCCCGCCGGACCCCCAAACAACACAACTGCCACTCCTGTGGGAAGAACTTCTCGTCCGCCAGCGCTCTTCAGATCCACGAGCGCACGCACACCGGAGAAAAGCCCTTCGGCTGCTCCATCTGCGGCAGAGCCTTCACCACAAAGGGAAATCTAAAGGTATGGTTCAAAGATATTTGGCCTACTTCCTGTTTATATTTATGCTAATTAAATGTGAAAGAAAATAGGATAAATTTGCGAATGCAATATTTAACAGATGCATTGGCATATTGGTACATAAAAGTTTGGTGTTAGCACCACCTATAGGTTAAATGAATAAATAAACAAAGAAAAAAAACATATTTATTCTATTCCAGCCCGTTCTCATCCCCAGGTGTCATATACTGATCCAACACACATGGCACCCTTTAGCATCAATATGAGATGCAGATATTGAATATTCATATATATATATATATATATATGGGGCAAAGGTCTAACCCTAATGCTACGTTCACACCGGACGCGAATAGGGCGTCAGGCGCAAATGATTTCAATGTTAAGTCAATGCAAAGACGCTTTACGTGCACAAAAAATTCCTGCGGCGTGGAGCACGCCGCGAAGACGCGAATACGCCTCATTCACGCGAATGGCGCGAATTTAGCGTCTGCCGCGTTACGCGCGAATGATTCAGTTAGTGCCATTTGTGCATTCACGCGTTTGACGCGAATTCGCGTCTGCCGCCCGAGTTGAAAAATCTGAACTTTGGCGTGAATTCGCGCCGCGTTCTATATACGAGACATGTTCATTTTGTATTGAATGTTATTCATTCCATAGCTAGATTATATGAAATAGTATTATGTTGACAATCAACATATGTGCATAAATTCGTGTCGGGATGTGAGAGAGAGAAAAAAAATCACAGGACTTTTGAAGGCTGGCTATTTTATCATCAAAACAAAAATAAATGACAGCTAGGTTAGATGGATGAGGGAGAGGGTGATCCTCGCTCCGATGCGGGACAACAGGTCATCAAACTGGGCGCGGGACAGGCGGAAGTACCGCTGACAGCGGCCGTCATCCAGCACAGCTCCTGGAGCGAGCAAACTCGCCAAACGGTTCGGCTCCGAAGGGTCCGGTGGACACAAATATACGGCGACGATGATCCCCACGCCACTGTTCTGCTCTCCAGAGTAAATACAGAGCGGTAACTCTCTTGATGAATGCTCGGTCGACATAAAAACAATGGCTGCCAACGGATTTCGATTCTGACGCACGTAAATTTCGCTTCAAACTTTTGTTTTTACGCGCGCCAGTTTCGTTCTTGACACGCGAATTAACACAAAGTGGTCAAGCGTCAAACTAGACGCGTCAGGCGCGAATTTGACGCGCGATTCGTATGAACGTAGCATAACCCTTCCCCAGACCTAAACCCACCCATAACCGAAGCGTGTTATAGTGACGCTAAAGGGTGCCATGTGCGTTGGATGTCTACGCTTTGGAAAAAGCGTCAGTATATGACACCTTGGGATGAGAATGCGTTGACTATTCATGATCTGGTCTCCTTTGTTTCACTGGGTCACGCAGATTACAGTGATGCCCATTTTGTCATGCTCAGCCATATTATCTGTGCGCCTTTTGAAATTGAAAAGATATTTCTGAACTCCTCCCACAGTGCTCATCGGATCGTCACATAAAAATAAAATTAAAGCAACATTCTGGCATATTTACATGAAAGTTTGCATGTGTCCTGACGATAGCGTATTAATTTATAATTTAATATTAATTTATAAATAGCGTATTAATAATTAACATGCTACTGTACCTATTAATTAAAAGTCATGAAACACTGTATTACATTACAAGCAGTTTTAATAAAGGCTTTGAAATCACGTTTCATCAAATCCGGGATGCTATTTTTATCTTTACGTGTAACAGATCTGCCACTAATGTGCTTGTCCCTGTAATTGCTGCCTGCAGCTTTTACCAATTACAATCTTCAAATGAGGTTAAGCTTATGTAGCATGTCTGGAACGGACTCTTTAACCCAAATGACCACACAACCACACAGCGATGAGATCCAATGTTTTTCCTTTTTAATCTGTAAACAGAGAGATCATCAGTGGATCAACGGGGCTTCAGCTTCTCTCTCTCTCGTGTAACACTCAGTAACATTCATGGAGAGAAGCAACATTGCGTGCGCTCACGAGCCTCTCACTCAGGTAGACTGAGGCTATTACAGTTCTTTTAAGAAAAATAAATAAATAAAACATGTAAATAAAATAATAAATGTTACGCATTCATAATCCTCCTTGTGACATATCACATTAGTACTCTTATTAATACACTACAATAATGTATAGTACATCAATTTTATACTAAATTACATGACCATAAGCATTAATTCAGATATTTATATAAAATAACATGCTATGAAAAACAATCAATAAATTATAATATAATTTGTAAACATAAATCCAAAAGAAAAGCTCAATGCACATTTAGCAGCATACCATATGCAGGCCGCACCACGTGCGTCACGCACGAATCTGATTCGATTCCCCGATAACACTCTTAATACAGTACATATTTATTAACAGTCAACCAGATCTCTTTCCTTTCACAAAACAGAACTAATTAAACAACACACCTGTAAACAGAGAGATCATCAGTGGATCAACGGGGCTTCAGCTTCTCTCTCTCTCGTGTAACACTCTGTGCATAAGATACTAATCAGTTAGCACCATAATGAGTTGTATAAACTCGTACTACTACACACATTCATCACGAGTAACACACTCAAATGATTAAGCACACTCAAATCACAATTATTGAGCAATAATTATGCCTTCAGACAATAAACATCATCATACCAGTAACATTCATGGAGAGAAGCAACATTGCGTGCGCTCACGAGCCTCTCACTCAGGTAGACTGAGGCTATTACAGACCGCACGAGGAGAAACCCCGGAAGTGTTCCACCGATGACGCTCCCTCCCCAAACAAACACTCAGGGAAAAGTTCCGCTATTTTAACGTTATGTTCTCTTACTCATGAACAATAATGTGAACAAAATTTTGTGAGGTTCATTAAGCCATTCTAAATACAAAAATAGGAAAACTTAAACAGTAAAATACAGAAAAAAAATAATACAATAAAAAACAAGTCAAAGGTTAATTTTCACCAGTTACATTCTCCACCCTGAACTTCACAAATTTTGTCTTATACAGGGATTGTATACACTGGAGCTATTTAGACCAACTGTTTTCCAGAACATGGTGCAACAAAATGTTTCCCACTCGCAGGGAAGGTGTGTACATAAGGTTGATCAGGCCCACTGCAATCACCCGCAAAAGGTGCCTTAAACACCATTCATCTCAACTTAATCTTGGATCTGGAACAACAAATGTGCTGAAATGCACTGACTCACAGAGACTTAACCTTAAAACTTAAAGAAAACAATATTGTATTACAATGTAATGGTTTAATACAATACATTCTTATTTCAATAAAGATCTTACAACCCCACCAACTGGATTCAGTGTTCTGATAGATTGAGCCATATTCTCTATCAACCTGTTGACAGGTCTCACCATCCTACCCACTCTGGTTCGAACTATCGCTTCTCCTTGACTAGGAAGTGGCTCAACAACTCTAGCAGGTGAAACGCAACGGTCATCATGGAGAACTGCCTCAGAAAGCGAACTGCAAGAATCACTACTCAGTCCTTCATCTGGAATGACTACATTGCTGTTTCCTTTGGTATAATCATCTTTTGACGACAATTGCTCCTGAACCAATGACTCGGGGACTACATCCAATGAACCAGCACTATCAGATCTGTAGGACAATCTCTGCTGAGGATCTTCAGAAATTGTGGTTCTTTCCACCCAACTGGCAACTCGGTCAGGGACAGAACACATCTCAGCTGCAGAACTAACATTATCCAAGGATGCACTCCTGCTTCCAAGGACAGATTCACCACTATCCCCAGGTGATTCAGGACCTCCCAACTCGAGCGGCAAGAAGTTGGCTTGCAACAGCAAATTACGATGAACAGTTTTCTCCTGGCCCGTTTTGGTGTTACGAATGCGATAAATGTGGCACTGGGGGTTCAGCGCTACTACCCTATAGGGTGTGGACTCCCACCTGTCTGCTAATTTTCTTTTCCCACGTTCACCTTTGTTGGCCAGGAGAACTTGATCACCCAACTCAATGTTACAGCCCTTCGTCTTCCGGTTGTACAACTCAGCCTGACGCTGCTGACTGGCATCAATGTTCCCCTGAGCGACAGTCATAGCCTCTTTCAAATTGTCTTGCAACCTTTTCACATACTTATCGTAATCAACAACATCACAGTCTCTGTCAACATTGCTAAACATCACATCCACGGGTAGCTTCGGGATCCTACCAAACATTAAATAGAATGGAGCGTAGCCAGTGGACTCGTGCGCTGTACAATTGTATGCGAACGTTAGTGTCTGAAGCAACTGTGACCACTTTTCTTTAGACCTCGGCGGCAGTGCTCTGACCATGTTACCCAAAGTTCTATTGAACCGTTCAACGACGCCATTGCCCATCGGATGGTAAGCAGTTGTTCTTGACTTTTTCACTCCGGCAACCTGCAGCAATTCTCGGATCAGTTGGCTCTCAAAGTTGGCCCCCTGATCCGAGTGGATCCTGTCAGGGAAGCCGTACACACAAAAATATCGGTCCCACAACTGACGGGCTACCTGCTTTGCTGACTGATCACGACATGGAAAGGCATGTGCCATACGGGAAAAATGATCAGTTACGACCAACACGTCCACATTACGGCCTTTGGAGCTTTCCGCGGTCCAAAAATCGATACATACTAGCTCCATTGGGCTTGACGTTTTAACGCTCTCTAACGGGGCTCTACCTTCAGGTTCGAGTGTCTTACTGACAACACAGCGCTTGCAACACTTAACATACCTACGAACGTCGCGTTCCAACCCAACCCAAAAAAACCTTTGTCTTGCCAGGTGCATAGTTCTACCTTGGCCCTGGTGCCCTGCTTCATCGTGGACGCCTGTCATCACCTGCGTAATTAAAGAGGACGGAACAACGAACTGTAACCGTTTCTTTCCTGCAAGGTTGTCTTTACTTACGCGATACAGTACGCCATCAAGCACATTCAACTTGTCCCATTGCTTTAAGACTCTGAGCACCTTATACGTCTCTCCAGAACGCTCACGACGTGAGGCCCTCTTGCCCCTATTGACGTAAAACAGGACCCTGGACAGACAAGGATCATTCTGTTGTCGGTCTCGAAGTTCATCTAACGAGAAGACTGGTAACGGGCATTGCCCAGGAGGAGACAGCTGCTGAGCGCCTTGAGCGATCCAGGAAATTGCCCTCGATTCGACTCCTGCTGCCCAGTCACTGTGACCCTCTAATACTGCGGTAACCTCAGCACTGGAGAGAGGACAACACCAAGAAGTTACACAAGGGGGACCTTCGACGCTCTGGGCACCAGCACTAAGCCTGAATGCATCCTGTACTTTGTCTTTCTCAAACTGCTCCGCTTCCTCAAGCAATGCACCATAAGGCTCATTCAACAGCCTCTGACTGACCCGGTTATGGACAAATGGTTGACGACTTAAAGCATCGGCCACTACGTTCTTGCTGCCAGGTATGTACTTAATGCTGAAATGATAAGGTGCCAACTTGGAAACCCATCTCTGCTCACACGCGTCGAGTTTAGGCTTTGTGAGGATGTAAGTCAATGGATTGTTGTCTGTCCAAACAACAAATTCATGCCCTTTCAGCCAATGGCTGAATTTGTCACAGACAGACCATTTCAAAGCCAAAAACTCTAAGCGGTGAGCAGGATACCTTGCCTGAGCACGCGAAAGGGCTTTGCTAGCGAAAGCAATTGGCCGAGCCCTAGTCTCACCCTCTGCGATCTGCGACAACACAGCGCCCAGCCCATCCATGGACGCGTCAGTGGACAAAATAAACGGGCGACTAAAATCTGGGTGTGTCAGAACCACGGAATTAATCAGAGCGGCTTTTAGCTGCTGGAAGGCCCTGCTGTGCTCCTCTTTCCAGTCACTAGAACTCAACTTTCTGAACACTGCAGCACCTTTCTCGGGAGGCTTCTTGCCCCTTGGCGTGGCCGTCAAAGAAAACAGGGGTTTTGCGATGGTGGAGCAATTTTGGATGAACCTCTGGTAATACAACACCATTCCAAGGAATGATTTAATCTTCCTCTGGGATGGTGTTACCCCATCCTCCATCATCAAATCAGCCTCAGTTATCAATCCGATTGCACTGACCTTGTCTGGGTCGGTCGCTACCCCCGAACTGTCAATGACATGCCCTAAGAAACGCACGCTCTTCCGGAGGAAATGGCATTTTTTGGGAGCTAACTTAAGCCCATGCTCTCTGAGTCTACTGAACACCACTCCGAGTCTCTTGATGGCCTCACTCTCATCTGTGGCATACACAAGTAGGTCGTCCAGATAGCAAAGTAATGTCAAGAAATTTTGATCGCCAAATATATTCGTCATTAGGCGCATGAAGCTAGCGGGGCTATTACATAACCCTTGCGGTAAGCGATTAAACTCATAAAGGCCCATCGGTGTTGTGAAGGCCGTCAATTTTTTGTCCTCCTCCGCCATTGCGATATTATAAAAGCCGGAGGTGAGATCCATCACGCTAAAGATTGTGTTTCCGCCTAAGGCCGCCAAACAGTCTGCTTGGTGAGGTAACGGGTGAGCGTCTTTGATGGTCCTGGCATTAAGCCAGCGATAATCAACACAAACACGAAGATCACCGCTTTTCTTCCAGACCAAGACCAGCGGAGACGCCCACTCACTACAAGACTTCCGAATAATTTCTTGCTCTTCCATCTCCGAGAGCACTTTTCTCAGCTTCTGATATTGAGCTGGAGGAACGCGCCGGTATGGAAGTCTGAACGGGCGGTTATCAGACAGGTGAATCCTATGGACGAACTCCTTGGCGCTACCACAATCTAGCTTATGTTTAGAAAACACATCTTGATATCTCTGAATCAACTGCAGAAGCTGGTCTTTCCAGTATGGAGTCACCTCGCAGGACTCGATATCAAGATCACTAAGGCCGAGCTTCTGCAGTGCGTCTTGAAAATCAGAGGGAGAACCATCCATATCTTCACTGGAGGAGACAGACTGGCCCTGAACACTCACAGCCTCTCCATTACCATCCTTAGGTTGCAGATCCAGGTCTTCGACCGCTAAAACAGGAGATACATCGGCTATTTTGGCATTTCGTCTCAAAGTGATTGGCTTACTGGATGGATTGATCACCTTAACCGGCACCCATCTGTCACCAGGTAATGTGGCTATAACACGCCCGACTAAAACACCTTTCTGATGAGTTTGTGCCTTAGACGGCTCAACTAACACAGTACTGCCCACAGAAAGAGTCGAACTTGCTGGGAGTCTGCCCCACACCAGGTGCTCGTGCTGAGGTAAAAGTGTAACGGCCTGAGTGAGCTTAACAGTACCAACAACGGTTGGGATACTACCACCCTCCCATCTGTTATGTCCAGACAACATGCTCAAAAAACGCTGAATCTCTGGTTCCCCTGTAGAATTTGGCTGATTCATGACACGCCAATAGCTTTGGGATTGCTTAAGCTGACTGAGAACGTACTTGATCACATTAGTACCAATAATTAACTGGTCTTTTTGCCCCGGTACAACCAAGGTAGGCACACTAACTGAATGTCCATACACATGCAACTTTAGCTGATGGGTGCACTTGGGCTTGACCCGAACACCACCACAACCGACAAGCAAGACATCAGTTGGGGGCTGAACAGGCTCAAGGATCCCGCATGCATCCAACAACTTGCGCTCAGTTTCCTCATTAATAGTACATGCCATAGAACCAGTGTCTAACAGGCCTTGGCAAGTGACCGTATCATTCACCAACACATCGGTGTAAAACAAACTGTCAGCTTTTTCCAGCTTCGCAATGTCCTGGAACAAAATGATACTGCCACTTGACTCAACCTGACAATGGCCGCTGTAGATGACCATTGGATCGTCTTCACTGATGAGAGGCTGACTTTCAACACTCACATTGCCCCCTCCCCAATGTGAGTGATCTAGTTTCCCTGATCGTCACCAGTCTGAGCCAAAGCTCGGCCAGCAACATTGCGACACTCCCTACGCTGATGTCCTATTTCTAGGCAAGCGAGACATCTTTTCTCTCTCATACAGTGGGAGCGAGTCGAGTGAGATCTGTCTCCACAGACCCCACACGAAGGGGATCGATACCACTGTGATGTTCGGGGACGTGGCTCTGAAGCAGGCAGGGTCGTGCGCTCCAGCACCCTCTCTAGCATTTTCAGCACTCGCTCTAAAGTGCCCAATTCTGCGGATTCACTTGGTTTAGGGTTCTGAACTGTTGCATGCGGTGCAGAGGTTACGCACATAGTTTCGTTTCCTATTGCTACCTGAGTGTTGACAGGTTTTTCAGCAGCAACAGCCTGATTCACAGCCACTTTAAGCAGAGATGGAACTGGTCTCTGAGACTTGAAATCTCTCTCATGCTCATCTATAGCCTCTTGGACCTCCTCAGCTGACCACTTGCTTATGGGCTTACTCCTAAAAATGCTGGAAAGATCAGGATTGGGACAGTTTCTGATAAACATCATTGAAATCTCTGAGCTCATATTCTCCATCTTTCCTCCACATCTTTGCAAGTGAGCATCGGCTAACTCGGCTGCCTCATTCAACCTGACCCAATAATCAACAGGGTGCTCATTAGACTTTGGCTGTGTCGCATAAAAGTCAGCTAACGGCTGGCAAGAGCCAGGGCTTTCGCTAAAGTAACGCCGTAGTACCTCATAGACAGCCTCTGGGCAGAGTACTGCAGCCGGGCTACTTTTCAGCTTGACCTTAACAATGCTCTTTGCCCGGCCGCAGAGATGATTCAATATCTCTTCCACACTGTCGGCTTTGTCACAACCCTTTTTGGACAGATACACCCCCATTTGTTCAATCCATTCCAGGATGGTGAACTTATCGCTACCATCCCCTCTGAACATTTGCGGTTCTTTAATATCAGCTTTGATTACTAGATTTAATTTGGACAGATCAAGATTGGGGGATGGAGGCACTGTCCTAGAGGGTTGCTGCTCAGATGGAGAGGAACCAGGTAATGCTGAACTCTGGTTCGCGAGCAAACGTGTAGCAATGGAGTCACCTATCTGGCTTCCGAGCTCACCAATAAGGTCACGTAGCTGCTGTGTAACATTGTCACAACCAGTATTGGCAGGAGTGGAAGTCTCTGGTTTACACGGCTCGTTATTGGGAAGCGCAGTTGGAAGAGTCACTGAATCATAGGCCAACACACGTGGTTTACCGACTTTAGGTACACCTACCCCAAAGAATCCTCGACCCCTGCCAATATGTGGTGTTACCAGGTCTTCATTCCATCTCCCTTCAGCCATATTAGATATGGGGAATGACAACAATGAAAATCATAAATGAAAATTAACTTTTCAATTATCGTACGCTTTTCCAAGCGAAGAAGAAAACAAGGAAAATAAACACAACAGTCCAACGAGGGTGTGCGTGGTGTGTGAAGTGAGAGTTCAGTACTATCAATGTCCAGACACTACCATCAAAACGTCAACGATGAAGATTCTATGGTTGTCGATTTCAGAAGCGTTGTGATCCCGCGTTGTCGAACCCCAGCGATCAGCTGCAGCAGATCTGGTGCATCCGGGTCACGGCACCAAATTATGTAGCATGTCTGGAACGGACTCTTTAACCCAAATGACCACACAACCACACAGCGATGAGATCCAATGTTTTTCCTTTTTAATCTGTAAACAGAGAGATCATCAGTGGATCAACGGGGCTTCAGCTTCTCTCTCTCTCGTGTAACACTCAGTAACATTCATGGAGAGAAGCAACATTGCGTGCGCTCACGAGCCTCTCACTCAGGTAGACTGAGGCTATTACAGTTCTTTTAAGAAAAATAAATAAATAAAACATGTAAATAAAATAATAAATGTTACGCATTCATAATCCTCCTTGTGACATATCACATTAGTACTCTTATTAATACACTACAATAATGTATAGTACATCAATTTTATACTAAATTACATGACCATAAGCATTAATTCAGATATTTATATAAAATAACATGCTATGAAAAACAATCAATAAATTATAATATAATTTGTAAACATAAATCCAAAAGAAAAGCTCAATGCACATTTAGCAGCATACCATATGCAGGCCGCACCACGTGCGTCACGCACGAATCTGATTCGATTCCCCGATAACACTCTTAATACAGTACATATTTATTAACAGTCAACCAGATCTCTTTCCTTTCACAAAACAGAACTAATTAAACAACACACCTGTAAACAGAGAGATCATCAGTGGATCAACGGGGCTTCAGCTTCTCTCTCTCTCGTGTAACACTCTGTGCATAAGATACTAATCAGTTAGCACCATAATGAGTTGTATAAACTCGTACTACTACACACATTCATCACGAGTAACACACTCAAATGATTAAGCACACTCAAATCACAATTATTGAGCAATAATTATGCCTTCAGACAATAAACATCATCATACCAGTAACATTCATGGAGAGAAGCAACATTGCGTGCGCTCACGAGCCTCTCACTCAGGTAGACTGAGGCTATTACAGACCGCACGAGGAGAAACCCCGGAAGTGTTCCACCGATGACGCTCCCTCCCCAAACAAACACTCAGGGAAAAGTTCCGCTATTTTAACGTTATGTTCTCTTACTCATGAACAATAATGTGAACAAAATTTTGTGAGGTTCATTAAGCCATTCTAAATACAAAAATAGGAAAACTTAAACAGTAAAATACAGAAAAAAAATAATACAATAAAAAACAAGTCAAAGGTTAATTTTCACCAGTTACACTTACTAAAGCACATTTTTTAAAAGTATTTGATATATATATATATATAACTGTGAGATGTAGCATTCATTATTTCAATGAGCTCATTGTTTCTGCATTAAATTCTAAAATTTTTAGCTAACTGTGATTTGCACATTTCTGAAATACATAACCTCTGATAACAGATTGTAATTCGGACTCGTGCGTTTTCTGTAAAGCTGCTTTGAAACGGTGTATGTTGCGAAAAGTGCTGTACAAATCAAATGTGAATTAAATATATTTGTAATGTAGACGTAAACGACAAAAACATACTCATAAAGCATGTGCTATATAAAGGGCATGATGTCTTTTTTTGCGATTGATATAAACTGAAGCAGCGTTCTCACTCCAGGTCCACATGGGAACCCACATGTGGAACAACGCCCCGGCCCGGCGGGGCAGACGCCTCTCCGTGGAGAACCCCATGGCTCTTCTGGGGGGAGATGCCATAAAGTTCAGCGAGATGTTTCAGAAGGACCTCACCGCCCGAGCAATCAACGTAGACCCGGGCTTCTGGAATCAGTACGCCGTAGCCATCACCAATGGACTGGCCATGAAAAACAATGAGATCTCTGTCATTCAGAACGGAGGCATTCCTCCGATTCCCATTAGTCTGAGTGGCGGAGGCATTCCCGCGGTGGGAGGACTGTCCGGCGGGATGGAGAGGTCTCACACCGGCAGCACGTCCCCCGGGAACACGCTCGACAAGACCAGCCTGGAAGTGGGAGCCGGACACCCCTTCTCCAGATTCAGGGAAAAGGACAAAGAAATTGGGATTAATTGATAAAGGATACTGACGGAAAGACTTGACCCAGTTTGAGTGATGTATTATATTGTACAAATGACGTCTGATATGCTGTTTAGATATTTAGTGTTCTTCAGTCCTACTGTACATTGATTCGTACAAAGAAAACACGTGTCTCGTTTGAAAAACGTTTGTCTTGAGAGGTTTGCATGGGTCTGTCAGTATGTTTCTTAATAGCGTGACGCTCGCGGCCAGTTCCTACGAGTCCATGTGTGGGGGTCAGGCCAAGGTCATTCTCACGAAATCGGGCAACTTGTAAAATATCGTTCGAGTGAGGTCAGAGGTCGTATGAATTAGCCACTTTGTAAATTCCCACGAATGGCCGTGAGAGTGATTTTACGGGACACGCGAGGATGGAAACGTGGATATATTAGTCAGCTTTTTCAATCACGGACACTAGACACTTGTCCGGACGAAAAAGTCGTTTCAATTTCTACATTAATTTTTCAGCCATGTTCTTATATTAATGTTCTGTGTCTTAATATTTATGCTATAAATTAACAGGAGGTATTAAATATATTTAATTGCCCTGAGTTTTTATCTACTTTAATTTAATTTAATTTTTCTAAATTGTAATTCTAAATATATATTGAAATAAAGACGTAAAAAAAAATCTTTGTTCTATCGATGCAATCACGTGGAGGTGTCGTCGTCGTCGTGTGTGTGTGCGCCGCGCGGATCTGACGCTGCTACGCTCACGCGCCTCTTTTTATCCTTTGTAAAGAAATAAAACAGAGTTCTACAAAAACCGTTTGTGTTGAAGAACTGCAGATCTACTGAGTCCAGACTGAACTGTGATGCACATTTTGTAACACAACACAAAAATGTGTTGATTTGTCATGTTTGTGAATGCACTTTTGGAGGAACGGTCTTGTTTGTGAGATTACTGTGGGAGAGCGATCTTCTTCTTCTTCTTCTCCTCCTGTAAATGTGAGTTCTGGAGCAGAGTCGAGCTCAATAAAAGAAGAACAGATCCTGTGTGTGTAATGCTGTCTCTCTTCCATCAGATAGTTCAACCGCGCAAACAAATCAGTTTTTAAATAGTCTATTATTTAAGAATATTTTTGTAACCTAAATCATCTGAATATGCAGTGTACGAACTGGACACACACATTCCTGTGACGCCAGATCACACACACACACACACACCTGAGGCGATGCTCACAGCAACTCGGCTTTTACAAATCACTTTCTTGTCATTTTCTGTGGATGCATGAAGTCAGGTGTGTGTGTGTGTGTGTGTGTGTGTGCGAGACGAGTGTGTTATCGATGCGATATTACAGGCGTATGCGCTGACACACACTTTTACTGACGCTGCTGGCTTTAATGATCACACACACTAACCCAAGCTCTGCGTCAACAGAATAAAACATTATTTGCTCATTTATGAACTGATGTAAAGTTCTCATGATGAGCTTAAATAATGGAAATACACAAATAAAACACCCACGGTGAGTAAATATATGGCAACATTATATTTCAAAGTGATGCGTTACATGTGAGCTCTATTGTAATAAAAGGTAATTATGCATAAATGCAATTATTTAACTCTAAACCAAACCGTAACCCTATGGTAATGTAGTTAATTAAAATTATATAATAATTTTAATTAACTACTTTTAATAATAAATAAATGAATGAAATGAAAAATGAAAATAAAAAATGAAATGAAATAAATAATAGAAAAAAGAAATAGAAAAAATAATAATAGAAAAAAGAAATAAAATGAAGTGTAACTGAAAGTATTTATTTGGTGTACGGTGTTAAATATTGTCAGCTCCAAACTAAATTAAAAACCTGAATACAATCGAGTAAACGAGGTTAGAGAGACGATGTTCATGACCGACACACACCGGATCATAACGCAACAGAAATGATATAATGAGTTTACACAATCAACACAATAGTGGATTGATCCTCCTGTCAGAGACGTCGATGGCACACACACACACACACACATGTACTGTGTCAAGAGTGTTAATCATATGAATTATAATAATTCCCATCCGGTAATCTCTCTCTCTCTCTCTGGGGATTCTCTCGCTCAGCAAACACACACACACACACACACACACACACACACACACACTCGGCAGTTCTGCCCTGTTTTTATGAATATGGCATTCCAGACATTCCTGAGCTTATCACTTACAATTATCGAATAAAAAAATTTCAATCTTAATTTTTCAGGGTTGGCCAAAAATATAAAGACTTTTGTTTCAGTCTGGGAGTGGAGTAATTTTATGAAATTCAATCATGTAATTTAATATGCTGAAGTTTTAAAAGCCCTTTGTTAGAGGACGCTTTCTAACGGGATGATTTAAATAGCAGGATTCAGATTTAGCAGCAGTGTGTGTGTGTGTGTGTGTGTGTGTGTGTGTGTGTTATGAGTATATGATTATTGATCACAAAACTCACTGTAGTTCATATATATCACCAGCTGAATTTAAAACATGTTTCAAGAGCCCAAACACACACACACACACACACACACACACACTCACACACTTTCACACACACACTGCTCTCAGGAATATCTGTTGTGCGTGTGTGTGTGCGTGTGTGTGTGTGTGTGTGTCCTGCATTCGCTGTGTGACAGATATGAGTGTGTGTTGTAGTTTTGCCGTATTTCTATTGCCTTTCAGGAATTTCCATAATTGTTCTGAGCCGTATTTCCCGACTGTAACACAGATAAACTCATAACCATATATACTCACATTAATAATGATGTGGAAGAAAGTTATGAAAATTCGGGGTATTGGGAATGGACAACACATGAGGGAATGTACAAATATTGTATTTCTCAGGAAAAAAAGATTATTGATCATAATCATGTTATGGAAGCAAATGAAAATAATGTGTCTCACACACCAGTCTTATGGAATTAAAAATAACATTTCAGATCTAATATATTCAGATTTCTTCCTGTAAATCTTTATTTGCATATGGAGATGTACATGCTAACAGAATAATGCATGTTTTTTATGTTGAAATAGTCCGTTTTAATGTGATGCTCCTGCAGTTATTCGGGACTTGTGACCCATATTATATGTGATAGCACAAATATTACAGTTTATGAATGAAAAGAGAAGATGAGTTGCAGAAGCATGTGTTCAGTGTGAAACGGCTCATATACACTCGTTCAATAAGAACTCAAACTCGTTTAGCATTGTAATATTTACACATTGTTTCTAATGTATTTTGGGGAAGCCTGTTTATTTGCTGGTATTAAACTTCTAACAAATTATGTGAATCTAAAATATTTATTGATATATGAAATTAATTCATTAATGTTTTAAAAATGATTTCATCATAAAAAATATAATCTGACTGTCGGTGGAACATGTGACTTTCTTCAGGAGTCCAATGATGATGTCTTAATAACCGCAGAAAACGCCACGTTTCAGAAAGGACAGAGCGATATTGTTCACGCACTGGAGTGTGTGTGTGTGTGTGTGTGTGTGCGTGTGTGTGTGTGAGGAGATCCTCTGTGGAAGCAGAGCCGATCAGGAGCAGCAGAAGAAGGTTTTCTGAGACATGAGTTTGTCCATCAGTAACTCAGATCAGTCATCACCTGAGGAACACACACTTCACAACAGATATATGATTGCTGACAGATGATCTGATGTTCTGATGATATGATATGATATGATATGATGTTGTGATGTGTTTGCCAGCTGTGTGCTCCATCTACAGGCCGATCGGCGGAAAAACAAGAACTAAAAGTTGAAAGCTTTTACAGTTATTTATTCATACAATTATTGATATATTTACAGCTGTGTGTTTGTTTGTATTATTATTCAATGACCCACGTGACAGACATTTAGCTCATGCTAATCGGTGTGTTTTTTGAATTATGTATCAGTCATCCACTTTTATTTATTTCAACTCACATATTAAGTTAATTATAAATGATTGTGTCTGGAGAACTGAAGAACAATCCTCATTAGCAGAACACATTTTACACAGAGTTACTGTAATTATTTCCAATAGCAATAACGATGTGTCATTGCAAGTAGCTCCACAAAAAAAAATTAAACATTATTAATGTTTAGTGTTACACAGCCAAAAAAAAAAAATGGGTTGCGAATGTGTGTTTACTGCTTCATGTATACAATATTGGACATTAATCTTTGAAGATAATGCTGTTGTAACAGTCCATTTATAGCAATGCAGTCTATTACCATACGCATACATCTTTGAAATGCTGATGAATCTCCTTCCTGTTGTGTAAATCATAAGCACAAACTGGATCAAATGTGCACACCAATCCCTCATCCTTCATCCTCCGTCACGTCTGAAGCCTCACACCGCAACTTTTGTGTTAGTAATGAAGCAGTTGTGTTCACGGTCCTCCAGTTTCTGTCAGGGTGCTGTCGGCTGCTCTGCTGTTTAATGTGAGCCCTCGGCTTCTGGCGGGGTCTGTCAGTCTCGTGTTTTATGGCTTTGCCCCAGGAGGTTATTGGTCCGGTTTAACATCCTCATCTGTCGGGCTAAGGGGAACTGTCCTGTTGGCAGCAGGGGCGTGTCTAGAAGGAGGGGCACTGCTCTCCTGGAATATGATTGGTGACCCCCAACATCATTGGGGTAGATTTACTGCCAAACTGACAATGCCCAACGCCATTGGATCAGAGCGCTGTCAATCACTGCTTTGATTTGCGATTCCCAAAGCCGAATCACAGGTCAGCTCCACACGTCACTGTTTACGGTATATATGCAGGTGTTGGATCTTTTTATATATTTCCATTTCATGCTTCTGGTTTCATTTTGTCACTCACCACTTTACCTGTTTAGTTTAGTTATGTTTGTGGTTTAGTTAATTAAACTTGTGCATAATACGAATTTGGTTTTGATTCTTTAGTTTAGGGCCAATCCCAATTCTACCCCTTACCCCTTCGCCTTCCCCTTGACCCTTGAAACAGGGTGGCAATGCGTAGGGGTGAAAATATTCCCCTAAGAAATGGGACACCACTACGCCTCCGTTAAACGTCATTATAAGTCGTCGCTAACGCCTACGTCACAGGAGATGCGCCGATGTTTATCACAACTTCCAAGATGCCGTCGACAGCTGCAGTTATCTCAGTCGCGAAGTTCGCAGGAAACAACGGAGACGACGAAAATATGTTGCGGGACTATCGTTAGCAAACTACAGTAATTTTAGCGTTTTTTTTTTTTTTTACAAACGTTTCTGTGAAGAAACTGACCGTAAATATGAACACAATATTGAATGTAACATAAAGCAAATCATTATTTGTCATTACAATACTTATTAAAGCCACAAATACTTACATTTATGGGTCTCCTTTTTCGCTTGGGCAGCCATTTTGCGTCTGTATCCTGGGTTAGCAGTGACACTTCTCATACCCCTTCGTTTGAAGTGTGCTCCCGAAAAATCTTCGTTTGAAGGGCTATCTGGCCCTTCCCCCTCCAACCAAAAGAGAATTGGGACAGCCCTACCCCTTCACGTGGACGCGCAAAACGGAGGGGAAGTGAAGGGGTAAGGGGTAGAATTGGGATTGGCCCTTAGTTTACTATTCAGATATTGACTACAGGCTCTTAGTAGTACTGTACAGTAGGAAAGACCTTTCTAAGAATTAATAAACAATTAACACTGAGTGTTCACGGGATGAACAGGTGAATTGATTGCAACATTCATTTTACTACATTTAGACAGTTAATTCTATTATCTGATCCAAATATTCATTATCAATTATAACAAGTTATGATTGATTATTAATATTTCTTTACAGCTAATTCGCTACAGATTGTTCTAGTTAGATTCATTGTCACTGTTTTTGCATGTTTGATTTCTAATTAGTTTTGCACCTGTTTCCTGTTCTGTTGATCATCATCCTTGAGTAGTTAAGCCCTCTGTTTCTTCAATAAAGTCCTTCTGAAGTGAAGCGATGCTTTCGTGTATGAAAAATATCCATTTTAAAACTTTATCGACTAAATAACTAGCATCCGGCAGATG